GCAACACTGGGTAAGCCGGGAGGACTCAGGGCACGGGTCCCCTTCTTCCCGGGTGATTTTCCTGAAGTCTTTTCCTCTGGATTAAAGCCTGTGCTGTCAGAATCCTTACCCGTGTAGGTAATTGCAGACTGTGATTGAAATATCTTTTAAGCTTTCCTTTGAGAGCTTTAAGACTGTCTGAGTTTTCTTAATTTCATACCTTGAGGGAGTTCCTCCTGGACTCAAGTTCACTCTCCTGTCCCTTTCTAAACCATTTCCAATGTTTCAGTATCTTTTTGAAGACATCAATACTGAACTCAGAGCTGTAGTGATAGCTACAGCTGGCTGATAAAGTAGATGTTTTTCCTTAGAAAACATGTAATTTATTTTTTTTTAATTTAAAAAATGCTTTTGTCAAAATCCAGTGTGTCATTGAAAAAAATTACATTGATGGCAAATTTCTGATCAGCTGTAATTATGATAAGGACGCCAAAACCATCCTGATGGTGGTGTTATAGGTAATACATCAAAACTGAGCTCGAGTAATTTCTTCTCCCCTATTTCACACAGGTACAGACTGGTTGGAAATTCTCAAATTCAGTGTGTGATTAGCAATGGGGTTGTTACGTGGGACAGAGATATTCCCATCTGTGAGCGTAAGTAGAGTTTGTTAATTGATCTACTGCCTAAACGTCACTGGGGCTGGATAAGGCAGCAGCCGTGTTGCGCTGCTGAGGATTTCAGCAGTTCGATGCATGGTGGAGTCTGGAAAGACATTTTTTCTTTGTGTTTTTCTTCCTGCGTTGTCCTGCAGAAATCTTTATTCACTGTCTGGGAGTAAGGCAGCTGCGTGTCAGACTGGTATATCCCAAACCCGCCCGGCGCCCGGGTCAGAGCTCTGTGGCTGTGGGCTGGCGTGCAGCTCCCTTGAGACCTGCCCTTACTGCTGACCCTTCGGGCACCTCGTGTTTCAATTTCTTTCTTACCAGACCTTCGGTTCAAAACGAATTAAGTTCTTTCTCTCTTGTTCTTCCCTCCCTCTGCCATTTCTCCCCCCTCCCTCCCCAGCGATACCGTGTTTACCCCCTCCAGAAATAGCTAATGGAGAGCACAGCGGAGCTGACAAAGAGCTCTTTGAATACGGAGTGTCCGTCACTTACTGGTGCCACACTGTCAAAAGGGGAGAGAGACCTTTCTCGATGGTGGGAGACGCCTCTATTTTCTGTACAACCACAGATAACATAAACGGCGTCTGGAACAAGCCAGCCCCGGAGTGCAAAGGTGAGCTGCTCCCAAGCACGGGGCGAGATGGGCTCTGGCGAGCGCACCGGGGCCCTGCAGCACCTTCTCCGCTGCCTACCGCCCGGTCTGCTGCGGCTCTCCTCCTCCTTGGAGCTGTCTGTCGCCTTTGCGTTGCTGGAATCGCCTCTTGCACGTGAGCCCCCCGGGGTTTGGGGAGCAGCAACGGGGTTTAGAGTCTCCCCTCGCAGGGACCGCGGCTGCTCACGGTCACCAAGTCACCAGGGGACGTGGGAGTGGGATTTTACCGTTCGCAGAGCAGATGATGCGTCTTGCCTGCCGGCCTGTGTTAAAGCATGATGCCCGCAAAGAATTCGGGAAGCTGCTGTGATACCTGCTGCCTTTCCTATGTTCTTTTTATGCTTTGCCTTAAAAAGCGTGAAAGGAAAACAAGATGCTCTAATATGGAGTAAGGAGTACAAAAGTATCGCATCGGCCTGCTACCTTCTCGTGTCGATTTTCAGCCTTTTTCGGTGAACGCATCTTACGCTACGAGAATGTTCTTAATACCCTAATGTCCCCTCTTGAGCACAACTGCTGATTTCCTAAGTGGTGGCGTTTCCCTGCCGCAGTGGTGAGCTGTGAGCACCCGAGCGTGGAGAACGGGAAGCTGCTGAGCGGGTACCGGGCAGAGTACACCTACAGGGACACCGTCATGTTCGACTGCAACTTCCGCTACGCCATGAAGGGCAGCGACACCTCCACCTGCAGAGAGAACGGCCTCTGGGACCCTCCGCTGCCCCTCTGCCAGCTCAGTAAGTGCGGTGCACCCACCGCCGCTCCGCCTGCCCCAGCTGCTTTGCTTCCGTGAAGTTCCCACCCATCCAAGAAAGCATTTGGTCGTGAAAGTGATGGCTCCAAGATTTAATTTTGGGGATTTTTTTTTTTTATTTTTTTAATTTTTTTGGCTGATCTCTCTGTAGCGCGAAGGTGACTTTAGGAGTTTATGACTTGGGGCCATAGAGGCTAAAGCCTTGTCCCGTTCAAGCTGGTGAGCACGTCTCAGTAGAGCTCAAAGGGACTAAATTTAACCTTACTATACTTAATATTTTTAAAGTTTGTTGGTAGAGCCTCAGGTAGTATAAACTTTATTAGAAACTACATCTTTTTATAACAGTGAAAATTACCATGCAGTCTGAAATTATTCATGTTTTCATTTGTCTCCTTTGCATTCGCTCTTTAGCATTACTGAACTCAGACGATTAAGTACCTCTTGGAAAGAACAATGTGAGCCCACGATCTTTCCCCAAATTCTCTCTTGTGTTACATACCATTATGGGCCTTGCTGATTTATCACTGGCAATGTCCCTAAACGGCTATTTCATTCCTAGGTAGCTGCGACGACCCTCCAGATGTGCATAATGCTGTTAAAGCAAAACTTGCTGGCAATTTGTTCCCTGTGGAGACCGTCATTACCTACGAGTGCAGGGAGGGCCACCAGTTCAGCCCAGGAGAAACCACGCGGCACATTAAGTGTCTGCCAGACTTCACGTGGACTGAAACTCCACCTCCTTGCGAAAGTAAGCCTGTGTTCCTTCTGATTTGGCAAAATTATTACCGAATGAAGCGACTGTCCGTGGTCTGCTGTCGTGCAGGTCACAGGGTGGGGAGGAGCGGAGGGATGCTCGGGGTGCTCAGCTTGGTGCTTCTGGTCTTTGCTGTGACTCAGAATCACAGAATCACAGAATGGTCAGGGTTGGAAGGGACCTCTGGAGATCATCTAGTCCAACCCCCCCGCCAGAGCAGGGTCACCTACAACAGGTTGCACAGGACAGCATCCAGGCGGGTTTGGAATGTCTCCAGAGTGGGAGACTCCACCACCTCTCTGGGCAGCCTGTGCCACTGCTCCACTACCCTCAAAGTAAAGAAGTTCCTTCTCATGTTAAGATGGAACTTCCTATGTTCAAGTTTATGCCCATTACCCCTCATCCTATCACTGGGCGCCACTGAAAAAGACTCCTGAGCTCCTTTTGATTCGCTCCTCAGCCACAGGGCTTTCTCTGCTTTATTGACCCGCTGTGCTTTCCAGTCCCTTCAACCTGTGCATAAAAAGTCATTGCGGCGTCGAGGGCCCCTTGCTCCGTCCAAGGGGAGGCTGCAGTTGCAGAGCCCCCTGCAAACACCCCGTCCCCCTGGAGGGCCCAGGGACGGTGTTGGGGCAGATTTAGTGTTGTGATGTGTCTTTGTCGAACAAAGCAGTCACCTCGCTGTTTGCGATGAGTCTGCTGTCATCCAGATGGCTTTGCTGTGGTTTCTCACTTGCTAATGTTTGGCATTTCTCAGGAATTCGTTGCTCAAATCCAGACATCAGGAATGGAAAGCCCTTACATGTGTGGGAAGATAAAGACCATTATGTGTACGGAGACAGACTGGAAATTACGTGTAACGATGGTTATGCTTTCAAAGGTCATAGCAGTACCATTGTGCTTCAGTGTACGAGTGACGGCAGATGGGATCCAGCAGTACCGGAGTGCACTCCAGGTGGGGGAGAGTTGGTGAACCGTGTTGGCTTGGCGACTGCTTATTTTTGACTGCAAAGGTTTGGGTGACTCAGTACAGTGTAGCTGGCTGCTGACAGTCACCGAAAAATCTACAGGTGTCATTAGACAATGGTAGTAGAAGCCAAGGAGAACTTTGCTCCACTGCCGTGTATCCCCAGGTCCTCTGGTGTTAACTTGGAAGGAATAGGCGGCAAAAGAGCCGGATTCGTTCCGGTGCCTGGGGGTTGCTGTGGAAAAAGTATGGGGTTTTGGCAGGGGGCTGAGCTAGTGTCTGGGGAGGTGGGATGGGAAGGTGGGGTGTTGGTAGCTTTTAGAGGCTCCTGAGAGGTTCCTGAGAAGCCTGGGAGACACTTACCCAGCGGGAAGGGGATGTGGTTTGTGCTTTGGCCGACGCCTGGGCCGGTTCGCTGACGTGAGGCTCGAGAGCAGAGGATGTTCTCAATGCATTTCCCCTCTCAGAAGAAAATGCAACAGCATTAAAAAGTGACGCTGCTGAAACTAATAACCCAGCAGTGGGGCACCACAGCAACATTAGCGAGCTGCTGGAAGCCCAAAAGCTCAGGAAAACCTTGTCGGGAGGAAAGATTCTGCTCCACCTCACAGAGCAGCCGGCATTAGAGCATGGATGACGCCTTGTCCTGGCCCTAACGCTGCCTGCGAGGTGCTCAGCAACCTCACGAGTGCAGCTCAGTGGGCGAGCGGGGACTGCAGCCCCCGGGCCGATAACGGCGCGTGGTGCCGAGGGCCCCGAGAGGAGACTCGCTCGGGCATGGACCCAGCTCTGCCACACGTGCCTTTCCCAACAGCCTCAGAAAAACCTGACTGGAGAAGCAGAAACTCCTTTAGTGTTACAAAGGAAGCGTCGAGGCCTGCATCTGGATGGCGGTCACCTTTTTCTTCCAGGGCTCAGATGTTCTTGATAACTCTCTTCCCCATAGAAAGCATCCTCACTGGAGTTCTTTCTGAAAATACGTGACAGCCTTTATTTTCCGTTGTTTCTAGAACCTCGCTGCCCAAAGCCAGACACTGCTTATGGAAGAGAGGTTTATAAAAGCAAAAATGACTACACAGTTGGGACCCAGCTGAAGCTGGCGTGCGATTCGGGCTATGTCCTCAGGGGCCAGGACCTGACAGTGTGTCAGGCTGACGCGAGTTGGGCTCCCCCGTTACCATTTTGTGACAAAGGTATGTGTAACGCAGTGCTGAGAAGAAATCTCACGTGTCGGTATTGAGAAACAGCAGTCAGTAGGTGACCTGCCTTCAGCATCTGCTTCTGGGGACCGGGAGGATGATCACTGCTCACGGGCTGAAGGCGCTGAGGTGTCTTCTCCCTGGAGGTGTGACCCAGGCGGGAACTGAGCGAGAAGTGGGAGTCTGGAGCTGGTGTAAGGGGCAAGAAGCCAGGCAGCAGCTTCACGTCACTCTGCCACACTATGAACTCAAAGTTAACTCTTGTACTGATTTCCCAGGAGCGATTTTGATTCTCACCTGAATAGGAAAATCATGCGTTTCTTTTCTTTACCAATTCCGTTTATTCTACAGTCTGTGATCCCCCTCCAAAAATCCCCCACGGGCAGCACTCCGGCTCGGGAATGGAGCAGTTCCCTTACGGCGCAAAGGTGACATACAGCTGTGCGGAGGGTCTCTCCCTCATTGGGGACACCTCCATCTACTGCACCTCCGACGATGGGGTGAACCTGGCGTGGAGCGGACCTGCCCCGGAGTGCAGGGGTGAGTCGTTTCTCCTGTATGGGGCCAGACTGAAGCCAGGAGCTGGGTACGATGCTGGGGGTAAGTCCCAGCCCCATTACCTGCCCTGGTCCAGGAGCTCCAAACCCAGAGCCGCTTAATGACCAGGCAGCTCCTCCAGCTCCTTCTCGGCGCCACAACCTGCTCGGTAACACCAGGGACTGGTAGTGTCTCCTATGCTGATGGCCATCAGGCGGTCAGGAAGAGTGGCTCTGCTCCCCCTGACCCGCTTCCCCGTCGTCCCCGGGGACGGGCAGGAGCCAAACCCACCTCTGCTCTCTTCCCGC